TACGGATGCGGGCAAGGTCACGCAACACTTGGAACTCCACTGTTGTCACCCCAATTTTTAAAAAAAGGAAACAAACAAGTGCTTAATAACTATTGTCCTGTCAGTCTGATCAGCACAGTGGGTAAGGCATATTGTGCATGAGCTGCTTAACCATACAATGATTAATGAGGTTATTCCATGGTGACAACATGGTGGACCACAACCACCAACCTTCTGAGTGCTTTGAATGACTGGGCTAGGGAGATTTTATGAAGGTTACTCCCATGGACGTCATCTACCTAGACAATGCCAAAGCCTTCCATAGGGTTCCGCATAGGTGATTGCTGCGCAAGCTGTGGGCTATAGGAATTAAAGGAAAACTACTTCGCTGAGTTGAAGAGAGTCTGACTTGCAGAACTTTTCAAGTTCGGGTTGGAAGCACCCTTTCTTCGCCGAGTCATGTTAAAAGTGTTTTTTCTTAGGGCTCTGTTCTGGGACCCATCTTGTTTTTTTTGGATAGGGCTAACCTTGATAAAGGCTTGAGGTCAAAGTGGAATAGTTACGCTGATGATACTAAGCTGTATGGAAACCCGATACTACCAGTGACTGCACAGGTTGACTTAGGCATGGTTGTATCCCAAGATCCCAAATGGGACAGACAGGTTTCAGCAGTTCCCAAAAGGGGAAATTCTGCACTGTACTTGATGGGGAGAGTGTTCTGAGAATTAAGTGATGAAGAAACTGTATGTGTCGTATATCAGACAATTTTGGAATTCGCCAGTTCAGTATGGTCCACTTAGACCTTTAGGACTTGGAGAAAGTACAGAGATGAATTACGAAGTCCGTTATTGATCTTCGGAACAGATCGTATGAGGAGAGATGTTGTGCTGTTGAACTGCCAACTCTGGAGCAGAGCAACAATGAGATCTAATCAAAACATTTAAGAAAATGAATGGAGGATATGATGAAAGTGACCTCACAAATTTCTTTGAGGGAACTCTGGATCATTGCCTCATTGGTCACTGCTTAAAGTTGCACTGGTGGAATATGAGGATCTTACAGCAACACCATTTTTGAGCAACAGTGGTGAACTCGCGGAATGGATTGCCAGCACTGAGTGTGTACTGAACTTTTGGGTTCTTTTATATCAACTGTACAAGATAAGCAGGATACATGATTTGTTTTAACTTTTGATACAATAGTCGTTGTTTTTGTTTTATTGTTGAAGTTATATTATATGAAGTATGCTACGTGACTTATTATATGATAAACATGTCTATTCATTTTTAACATGTACAGTATGATATTAGTGAAACAGCAAAATTGCGCATGTCATTACAAAATAAATTAAAATATTCTTAGACTTTAGAACTTTCTTTGAATTGTATCAATTGTAAAAAATTTTGTATCGCTAGTGATTTTAATTTACCACCACTTGGAATAATGAAAACTGCAGTGTGAATTGCATTTATATGAATTCTTTAGAGTTGGATATTCAGTGTAGTACATTTCGTCAAAACAATGAATTAAAGTTATACCAAACAAATAAAATTAGAAATGATTTTGATAAATTACTTATTTAATATTTGTTAAAGATTCTACTTGTTTGGTCCTTAAATGCTTAAACCAAATATTACCTTGCGATACTTACCACCTTTCACAAGATATTTTGTTTAAAGTAGATGATGACAGTTAGAGATGATGACATTAAATTTGATTTTATTGAGATGGATTATTAGGTGATAAACAATGAACTTGTACTCTTTGACAGGTTATATTTTTCGAAAAAGTATACATTAGATGTGTTTGTTGAATATTTTTATGAAATACTATATAATTAGTTAAATAAATATGTTTATAGACATGTGATAACATAATTTAAATATCGAGTATTCTGATGAACTGAAAAGTCTTTTGAATGATAAGTCAGAGGCCTATGAGAAATATTTATTTAATACAGGTAATCGCCCAATTTTACATATCATTATTCTACTTAAAACATATGCTTAACAATTACTTTAGTGCATGTTATAATACATTTCTGGCAAAAATCATTCAACATCACGTTTCTCCCTTTCAATGTGAAGTTATTTGTGGGTATATCAAAATCTATGTCTATTGAATTTGCTACTCTGTACATTCTCAGTAGAGGAACATGAAAATATGTACTGGTTTTTGCTAATGGAATTTCAAATGTATATTTATCTATTAATCATAGATTTTGAACTGTTTTTTTCCATGAGATTTGGGATAGAAGATGAGGGCAGTCAATATTGTTTTCAATAAATTATATAAAAAGGGGTATTGTAATTCCTATGTGACTTTAATGTACTAATACTAATATTTAACATCATGGCGATTTGAATAATTAAATATGCAAAGTGATGGTAATTTAAGCTGGAAATTTAAAAAATATTATGTTATACGGTTTCTAATTTATTGCTATGAACGTATAAAGAAGACCATACAGGTGAAGCATATAGAAGACTTGGTCTTATTAATGTATAATATAATGTATTAATTATATGAGTTTTTGTTATTTGTAGTCGTTCGTCTGTGAAAACCAAGTATTCTATTTGCTTTTGCAACTTTAAAATCTATGTTCCTTGAATTTTAGTTTTTGGACAAAAATCACACACAGCTCTTTAATTTTCATGACAGTTTTCAATTTGTTCCCATTTAAGAATAAGAGGATATAATTGAAATTCGGGACTTCATATATCTCATGATTTTACATTTTTGAGTGTTCAAGACAAGTTTATTATTTTTCACTATCGAAGTAATGCATTCAGGTTTTCGTGAAGAATTTTTCAAGTCTGTTGATTTTATTTCTAAAGATAATTTTAAATCGTCCACAAAAAGTAAGAAAAAACAAGATAAAACAGCTGATTTAATATCATTTATATATTGTAAAAGTTGTAATGGTCTCAAATGTGAGGCTTGAGGAGGCTTGAGGCGTGATGTTTCGATATCATTTGAGATAACTTATATAATTCACATTTTGAATTCTACCAATAAGATAACATCTCATCCATTTCAACCATAATCCATGAATTCCAATATATTCAAGTTTAATAAAATTTCATGATTTACAGTATCAAAGGCTTTTGCAAAATCTGTATATATCATCCATAAGTTTGTGAATTTGACTCAAAATATTTAAGAATATAATTTTGTAATATCAATAGATTAGTAGTTGTTGATCTTTTCTTTTTAAAACCTTGTTCATTTCATAATATTGAATTTAGTTTTGATGTCAGTATGTGTGTTATTAAAGAAACAAATACTTTTGAAATTATACTCAATTTCAAGATTGGTTTATAATTATCAATTTTTGATCTGTCATTTGATTTAAAAATTGGTATAATATAACTTCTCCTCCATATTATTGAAAAGTGTAAATTTTCAAAATAATTTTATATTGACAATATTTTTAGATTTCTCAATTTTCCCCTTTGTATTTATTATAACCATCTATGGGTTTCTTTTTACTAAGTTCCCGAATTTTTGAGAAATTTAAATAATCATAATCAGTCACGTAGGATTAAAATTTGTAGGTGCTAATGACTTAGCTTTAAATAATTTTTTTAATTCAATGGAACACCAAGGCAGTGAAATATTTTATACATTTAGGAACATATTTGTCAATTATATCGTAAATTACGTCATAGAAATAAATGATGCTTTCTTCAAGGAAATTTTCTATAAAAAAACAGTAGCCAATTGAACAAAATTTTGCCGTCATTTATCAAGTCGTAATCTATGTGTTCAAAATCGTAATTAGTTTCAATAATATCCAATGACCTTAATTTCTCATCAACTGAAAAAACAATATTGAGAGTAGGGTGATACATGTCACAGACTACCAAATGGGCTGTCAGAATTTGAATACTACATTTTCGGTTGTGTACAAAAATCAATTCTAAAATTCTACCAGACTCGTTGGCGATGTTTGTTTGAAATAAATTTATGTAATTCATAATGTTTGCTAAACTTGTACTAGAATTTATCTCTTTTGATAATGGATTTAAGAAATCACAATACACATGAATGCGCATGCGCGGGCGCACACACACTCACATGCACTCCCTCAGTTGCACGCACTCGCACACACACGCAGAGTGAAAGGGGGAAAGAGAGAGAGTGTGAGAATGTTTTCACTTTTCCTTTTACTGTTAATCAGAAAACCATGTTTGGTTTGCATTATTGGCTTTTGAAATTTGGAGACTGCTGAGTTTGAAGTAATTGCTTGGTGATTTTTGGGTTTGTACTAACAGAAGTTTTGCTGACTTCAATGATACGAAGAATAAACTTCTTAATGTTCGTCTACGACATGACTTTGATTGTCTCTATTTTATTTATTCAGAATACTACTATTCAATGAGAAATTATCCAAGATTAACAACGTTCATATTGGCTAATTATTATATTGTAAATCTGCTTTTACATTAATAAAATTGGAATTTCTGTGAGCGATTTGAAAATAAGTATTTTATTATATGCTTATGTAATTAATATTAATACCATTTCAATTATTTGGATGATGTTTCTCTGGGTGATCTCCAGAATGACTGAACTAATTTCAATGAGGTTTTCACTGAAATGTAGTGTGTTTTGTTGAGCATAACTTGGGCTTATCTTTTTTAAATTATCTTGTCTTATATAAAGAAGATAATTTGTTTGATGTTACACAGTTTTATTCTGATCTTAATGGAAGTTTGTACATGTGATCTTTTGACTAAACAAGAGAAACGTTACTATGTGTCGCTATGTGAGTACTACGTGTCACTATGTATGTACTACGTGTCACTATGAGAGTTCGTAAAAATTTCTCCTATCTATCTCTTCCACCCCTTAGAGCAACATTTAAGTGTTCAGACTCTGTTTTATACAAATATATTGAAAATGGTATATAAATTAAATTTACCAAAGTAAAAAAAAAATTTTTGAAAACCCATTGAACTTCTTAATACATTTTGACTCATCCCAATAGCTCCATTATGCTGAGAATAATTTTCAAGGTGAAAATTGTTACTGGAAGTTTTGATGGGAGTGTGCAACAATACATTGGTTTACAACGATCCAAAGCAAAGATGGTGGAAACAACAATGATCGTAGGAGACGTGGCAGGACAGGATTGGCTCAAGTGGGGCAGTATAAAATGGGATGGCATGGTTAGGTGGGAGAGGATGGAGCTGGGCAGGTGGGATGGGGTAGGGTGAGAATTGCAAGGCGGGAAAAGGTCGGGACCAGAAAGGGCAGGATAGGCTGCACAACAATGTGTCTGAACAGGGCAGGGCAGGGATACATCATACATACCTTTTCATGTCTAATGAATGATTATGAATAATAAAATACTCAGGCAATGTGGGGTACTTGAGCTAGTTTGCAATATCAGAGCAATTTAACGTTGGGAGACAGTTTTATTACTACAATTAGAAAATTGATTGATTTTAGAAAATTTGTAGCCATATTTGATAAAAAAAATTGTGTAGAAATTGCATTAAGGTAAGCAGAATTTTGCTAAAACTACTTTTTTTTTTTTCCTCCAAAAAATTGTACAAAGCCTTTTTTTAATAATCTAAGTTTTTAGAAACAATTTTATTTGAGAAAAATCTCTATCGTTAATATTGTACTTTTGCAATATTAATATTTTGCAAATTTACAAATACAAGGAGTTTGCTGCAAATGGGACCAGCACCAGGTTTTTTACTTCTTTTGCTACACATGTGGAAAGAATTTGAAGCTGATTATATAATTGTTTAAAAATGTCTATATTTCACACAAATTTATGTGAAAACTACTTGTATTTTCAATTTAGTTGTATTTTTCAGGTGATTTCAATACTTCTCCTTGTACTTTATAGGGAGGAAAAAAAAAAAAATAACAAAATTCATTTTACAAAGTTTAGATTAACGTGGGATATTATACTAGTTGGTTCCAATGTCAAGTTTGACCTAGTACTAATAGCAAAATTTAAGGAGGAAAATGGAGATTGCTGTGATTGCTTTGAAACTTGCCTTCTCATAAAATTGAATTATATTTTGTGATTTTATGCAACTTCATAATTTTTCTACTGTTTGGGATTAATGTTAAAAATTGTTAATAAATTTAAGTAATTCATTTCTTTGGTAATTATTATTACTTTTTTAAAAATGCAAATTTTCCTGTCTCACTATTTTTGGCCAACCCAACACTAATGGAATATTTCTAACTTCATCAGACTTCTTATTATACATTTCTAAATAACATAGAATTAATAGGAAATGTTTTTAATGTGATGTAATTTATTTTTACTTTTTATAAGTGGGAGAGGGTGGGAGGAAGATATCTTAATTACTCCATAATTACATACTTCATTACCTTAATTATGTAATTATGGCCAAGTAGGTCTTATAGGTACTTCTAAATTTGAATATGAGAGAAATTCATTATATATTTTCCATTATGAAAGTGAAATACAAGCATATTACAAATGATTAATGGCTATTTGAGAAAAAATATAAAAGAAGAAACTATAGATATAATCTATAATACAAGCGATACATGCTTGCTAATGGGTGATGAACTGAAATAGGTTAGATGTTGAACTTGGGAGGACTAAGTGGAGCTTCATTGAATTATTTTACTTAATTTTTATAATTTTATTTTCTTCTCTTTTACTCAATGTTCTTAGTTTAATTTATTTCCTTTATCAAATTACTATTGAAGTTAATTGTAATAATTTTCTTTTTCAGAAAGGGCCACTTCATTTAAATTATTGCATTTTTGAGAGTCGTGTCAAGAGACTGAAGTTGGAACATAACAGCATCACAAATAACCAAACTTCTGAAGAAATGGAGTGTTCCAATCCATCTAAAACCTTTGATTTGGATATCATAGATAATTTTCAGATCGTCTTGAACACCCACGAGTTAGATAAAATGAAGTGTAATGCATTGAAAAGTTATGATCAAGTTTCTCAAGATGAAAATAAAAATAAATGGAAAGAAGTTCAAATTCAAATTAGTGAGAATGGCATCATGAGTGTTACAGATATTTCTGTGGAACAGAATAATAACAATAGTGAAATACCTCATGATTTTCAAATGCCGGTTGTGAATGATGTACAAAATAAAGTTTGTGATGCACATAAAACTACAAATCCTTCCTCAGTATTATCTCCTAGCAAAGGAGAGAAGGACAGAGTTGAATCTGATCAGGGTAGAGCTTCTGTGAAGGAGGAAATGGTAAGTTCTGCTTGCCCAGAAGACCATGGCAAGGATGCTTCCGCAAGCTGGACAACTACACCAACTCAGCATCAAGATATGCCGTTTACAGGCTGTGTTAAGAAGGGAATTGAAACTATTGTGCCTGTTCGGAGTGAGCTTTCATCTTCATTACCCTTGCCATCTGCATTATTGCCTCTGTCATCAGCTGTGCCTACTGCAAGTGATGCAAAAATGCTCTCCAAAGCTGAAGAAACTTCTTTGCTTGCACCAAAGAATGAAAATAGTTTGACAACAGACCCAATTAATAGCAAAGACAAAGATTCACATAAAAGTACTGAAAAACGTGCATTTTGTACAGTTAATGAATCCGTGTCTGTAAAGACTATGCGCCCAGATTTCAAAGCAAATATGAAGAGGAATATTTCTTCCAGAGATGAGTTAAAACCAAGTACTCCATCTACAAATAATGGGTCAAGTTTTAGTAATATTAATGCAAAAAAACCACATGCTGTTTGTGCACCAGTAGGTTACAAGACTTTGAAAACACCTCCCAAAAGTTGGAATCCAAGCATTTCCCATTGCAATATTCAATCTGCAAAAGCAAATCCTTTGTTATGTGGTTCAGAGGGAAGTGCTATATATGCAAAAAGCAATTCTGGGAATGGAAAAAGTGGTATAAATATTGCTCAGAGTAATCCAACTTTTAAGCATTCTCTTGAGAACCCAGTATCAAAGCCAGCTCGTATATTTAAAACTAGGAATGTTCCCAGGTATTTAGGTAATCCTGCATCTGGTGTGAAACCCATGTTCCAAGCTGTCACAATTGCTAATACTTCCAGTAAAGTTGAAAACAGTTCAACATCTACATTAACAACTTCATTTCCAAAGTCTTCTAGTTTGACAGTAACAAAAATTGATCCTAAAACCTTATGCCCAATTACAGTTGGTAGTTCCAATGTTTCTGTATATCCCAGTCCATTTTTGTCAAATTCTTCTAATATGAGTTCAGTGTCTTCTGCAGTTTGTTCTTCTGCTTTTCCTCATTCAATTACAAGTACAAAAAATCAAGTATATTCTCAACTCCATAATTCAATGACCTCAATTTCAAAAGGAATTATCTCAACACATTCACCATTTACACAGTCTTCTAATAATCTTATGAATCCATCAAAGCCAGTTATTAGTGTTGGTGGTGTTATACCAAGAAGTTCTTGTCAAACAATAAGTACTAATCCACTTACTCCTAGCATTTCTAAGAATGCTCCGCATCTTTTATATGTTTTTTCTGGAAATGCTAATAAGATGGCCACTCCTCTTGCTAGGAGCAATATTGCTCCTAGTACTACAATTGGGGCCTTTCATCCATTACCTCCCCCTGTCAACATGCTCTTCAATCCACACCTTCAGCATCATCGAATACAAAACCAGTGTGTCAGTACATCGAGTCAAACACCTACACCATCTATTCAGAGGGTGCCAGCTTCCAACTTCCATCAAAAATTCAGTATTGGTAATCTCAACAGTGGAATTAGTAACAAAGGTGGTAATTGTAATAGTACACCCGAGAGAATGAAAGAGGAATGTGAAGGAAAGGAATCTCTTCATAATTATCCATCCGGAATAAGTTGTCATTTTTCGACAAATATGAGTATGTTTAGAAACAGTTCTGGTAACAAGAGTCCCATTAGTAGTAACAGAAATAATTCAGAAGGCATCAAGAACTCAGAATCTGTTTCCGTAAGTTCTAGTGCTGATTTCACTACTTGTACAACCACTATTACAAACAGTAACGTCACTTCAAGTACCCTTACCACCCCAACATCGACCACCACCACTGCTACTGTTTGCACATCTGCCACTCCTAGTTCACTGAATATCACCACCCCTTATTCTCTTGCGAGTAGTACAGCTGCTATCAACACAAAAGTAACAACTTTTGTTAATAGTATTAAGCCTGGTGGTTCTTTTAATGGTATTTCAACCTCTGGCACTATGCCAATTTCTGTTCCTGGTTTTACTTCATCTGCCACCTTATCTGCTTCTACTCCTCTAACTATGTCCACTTCTACAAAATTCATGACTTCCAAGGCAAAAAGCCATTCTGCCTTTGACTCTTGTTCCACTACACCATCTAGTGCCGTAGGTATCTTATCAGGCCCTTCTATTTCAGTTTCAGCTGCTGCTGTTCCTGCATGTTCTAAGTTATCATCTCTTGCCAGTTCTGGTTCTACTTTGATAGCCTCCATGGCTCCTGTTCATAACATGTCTGCTCACACCTTTTCCACTCAATGTAATTCTTCCTCAAAAACTGTGTCTATTTCTGCTTTCCCCTCCACTTCATCTAATGTACCTACAGTATCTGCATCTCTTCCTGTTAGTCATGTATTACCAGTAACATTTCCCCCATATAAGAACACAAGTAGCTCATTTCCTGTAGATGTTCCATTAGTTACAAATGTTTCAGGTAATTGCATTTCATCAACAATTCCTACTGGCTCATTGGTTCCTAGAACAATTGCAATTCCTGCTCCTTCAACAGCCCTCAAATTGATTACCTCTATGACGAGTCCTTTATCAGCTACAAGTGCTACTGCTAGCACAGTTTTTGCATCTTCTCCTAAAGGCTGTGCCACATGCTTTGATATTCCTTTTACAGTTTGTTCTACTACTACCACTACTGCTGCTGCTGCTACTAATACTACTACTACTACTACTACTACTACTACTACTACTACTACTTCTTCTTCAGTTAAAGATGATATTCCTAATGTGTCATGTAGTAATATGATGACTACTTCTGCTTCTGCTTCTAATAGTTCTACTTCAACAGATGCTAATTCAAGTACTGTTTCTTCTAAGTTTACTTCTTGTAATACCTCAAAAACTATTGTTGCAACTATAGCTTCTACTACCTCTACGGCCAATACTGTTGCTGTTTCCACTTCTATTCCTATTATTTCTTTTGTTTCTACTGCTGCTTCAATTGCTCCTACATCTACTGATTCTATTATTACATCTACTTCTGTTACTGCTGGTCTCACCACTATTACTTCTATTTCAACAGATGTAAAAGAAGCATTAACTACTAAACAACCGGCAACGATCATGAGAACAATACCAATTACTGTGACATCTGCAAGTGCAGTAAAATGCTCTGTTACTGCCGAAAACACTTTGAATAGTAATTATTTTAAAACGGCTGCAAATGTTGGCTTAAATACAAGCACCAATAGTGGGGCTTGTATTACCAGTAATGTTACTAATGCCATAAGTGCTATAAATACGACTTTGAACCCTAGTTGTGTTACAACTAGAATTAGGACCAGTTCAATTACATTAAGTATTTCTCCCAGTTGCACATCTTTGAATTCTGTTAATGCTGCATGTGTTGCTGGTCCTGCTGCCACTGTTGTTACGTTTAGTACTTCTGCTGCACCTTGTACTTCAGATCCTGCCTCGGCATTTGCACATGACATTTCCAGTACCACTACTACAGCTGTTGCTAGTGCTAATACTTCTACCATGTCTACCTCCTCCTCCACCACCACCACCACCACCACCACCACAACCACCACCACCTCCTCCTCCTCTTCCTCCTCCTCCTCCTCCTCCTCCTTCTCCTCGTCCTCAACTGCTGCTATTACCACTACCACCACCAACTTTACTGCCATAACTTCTACTACTATGTCAACAACAGCAGCAGCTGCTACTACTACTACTACTACTACTACTACTACTACTTCTACTATTACTCCTCCTCCTCCTCCTTCCACCCCCACTGCCACTCCTACTCCTAACAACACTACTACTACTTCTACTTCCACCACTCCTGCTACTACAGCTGCTGCTGCTACTACTACAACTACTACTACTGGTACTGCTACAACTACTACTACTACTACTGCTGCTGCTGCTGCTGCTGCTGCTGCTGCTGCTGCTGCTGCTGCTACTACTACTCCTAGTACTGCTACTCCTACTACTACTGCTCCTACCACTACTACTACTACTACTCCTACTACTAGTACTGCTGCTGCTGCTATTACTAGTACTGCTGCTGCTGCTGCTACTACTAGTACTGCTGCTGCTGCTGCTGCTGCTACTACTACTACTAGTACTGCTGCTGCTGCTGCTGCTATTACTAGTACTGCTGCTGCTGCTACTACTACTTCTACTACTATTACTAGTAGTAGTAGTAGTAGTAGTAGTAGTGCTGCTGTTGCTACTACTAGTACTGCTGCTGCTGCAACTACTACTACTACTGCTGCTACTGCTGCTGCAACTACTACTACTGCTACTACTATTTCGAGTATGACTGAGACTTCTACTACTTCTATGACAACTGTTGCATCAGCAGCTCCTTCTACAACAACAGAGCAAAATTATTCTGCTTCTAGCTGTCCAATATCCCAACCTAGTCCTTCCCCAACTCTTTTTACAGTTTCCAGTGCATCTCAGTCTTCTACAAAAAGTGAATGTATCAATATTCAGAAATGTGACAGAAAAGATTATGGTTGTAGTGCCATACCAGTTGTGACTTCAAAGGTATTATCTGGTACATCCCTTAGCATAATTGCTGCACACTCAAATTCTGTCAAATTAAGGGAATCGGAACAGAAACAAAGCCATAAGGATGAGAGAGTAGATCCTCTACCAGAGAAAATTTCATCTCTTCTGGCAATTCACAACAATGTACAGAAAGACCATCTCAAGCACAATGAATGCACTGAAAGGTTGTGTTCTCCCATGGGTGAGAATTTTGTACAGCTTTCTAATGAAGAAATTAGTGTTAATAACAACGTATTGAATCCATCTGAGACAGGAAATGTTAGTGGAAAATCTTGTGAAGATTTTCCAATAATGCAGTGTGATACTAAAATGCAGATAAATAAAGTTGATGCAGTTGAACATGATGTAAATAAAACAGCAGACAATAAATTAGATATGTCTAAAAGAAGTGAAGATTCAGTATTGTGTAAGGATGCAGCATCAGGCATTCAGTGTAATAATAATTATGCTAATTATGTAAGTAGTGAAAGTTATACATGTGAACGTGTTGCCTTGAACAATAGAGAGTATTGTAAAAAGGTTGATGTGCATGGAAAATGTACAGTTATAGGTTCAGAAACATTTACAAAAAATGACAATAAAGTTAGTACTTCAACCAAAGTTGCTGCTGACAGCAAACCTCAGGCAGCATCAAAAGCAGAGAAAAATGTAAATATTAGTGACAATGAACAGAAGTGCAGCAATACCCTGAAAACAGAGTCCCACAATGTATGATATATTTTTTCATTGAGAAAAGTTATTGTCTATTTTGAAGGTTTCAAATTAGTAATTTGTGCAGATCTGGGTGTGTGTGTAGTTTCCATCTTCGCCTTCGTGCCTCAAGCTTCACTCAAATAATGAGTTGTAGTTGTATTCAACAAATTTATCTGTGATTTAGTTTTAATACATTTCCCTACATTGTATATTTTCTCATTTGTCCTAAAGGACCTTTCCAGCTATCATGGGGAAGGAACATGCAATGATATGGCAAAAACCATGCAATGGTTTTAAAGACATGTTAATGGTTTTATGTGGAATAGAGCTAATCTCATTGTTTTTCTGTTGTATTTGAAGTTGAGTCTTTTAAAGAAGCAAAGGGTACTTCAGATAACAGATTGTGAAAATATACTGATTTATAAAAGATATGACTATTTTTATATATCATTTATTTTTGTAATATCTTTCAAATATACATTGACATAGAATTCTTAATGTAGAATTTTATTCATTATTGTTGGTGTAAAGTGTAGTGAATCTGCAGATATTTCTGTTGAACCTTTAAAAGTTAGTGAATTGTATTTAATTTTGGAAGTACTTCGAGTCTTGTTCAATGTTCTACTGTGCATTGGATTGTGAGTAATATTTTGTGTACAGATACACCTTTTTCTTTTCTTTTTTAATTATTTGTCTGGTTTGCTCTTTAAAAGTGTCTTATAAATGTTGATACATACTATTTAAACTAAAGTGTTTCTGAATAATATATTCATAATACAATTATGATGAAGATTCTTAATATTTATACATGTATTGAATACATTGAGCTTGATGAACTTATAAAAATTTCAAGATTGAGTACAAATGTTTGAATTGGTACAGTTTGGCATTTGTGTTGTTTATGTTGCTTATGCAGAATTAAATTTTCAAAACAGTTTTCTGTCTATAAAGTGTCTTTGTCATGTTAAATGTGCATTTCTTGTCATCATGTTGGATGCTAGCTCAATGAAATGGGTCAGAGTAAGTGGTTAGTTCTCTTTCACAAGATAAGAATTAACTGTTCAGTAAAGCTTCTGCAGAATTGCTAAATCTTTGGAGCATATTCTGAAACACACTTTTGAATTGTCCTATCTTAGTCCTACTTAAAAAAACATTAAAAGGGTGGTACATACAAAAGCATGGTGACTTATTTCTAGAAAACAGAAATCAAAATGCACAAATTTTGCAGGTTAAGAGCAAGGAAATGTCTGATCACATAAAGAAGTGTGCTCTCAACTTGAGTCTGAACCGTGGGAAACAAAAGATTGATGTTTTATGTAACATGGCAAATAGTGTAAGATAAAGTGACAGCCTTTAAAATGGTCATTATAAGCATGTATATGCCTCTTTATAAACAGAAGAGCAGCAATAATTATCACTTGCAAAGATAAAAATTACTTGCAAAATTAAAAAGTTATGAATTTGCATAATTCATCTCTGATTTGCTTCTGTGGTCTGAATTCTTACATATTATTGGTTGAAAGGAGTAGAATAGTTGCTAATGAGTAGTAATGAAAACTGCCTTTATCTTTTTTTAACATAAACAGTTGGTAAAGATATCTTTCAAAACCTCGTTCATATTGTGATCCAACATCACTTTATCAGTTATCTGTGTAATTATCACAGTGCAGACACTCAAACTGTTACAAATTACCCATGATTATAATGTGAAATGTAGGACCAAACATTAATATGGAAACGTTTATAATATCAGTTTTATTTCCTGTCTGTATGAGGGTCATTGCCAATGTATTGGTTTCTCTGGGTGTTTAAATGCTCTTGTATGAGAGCCTCTTTCCTGTCCCAACATTGCCATTGGATCCAATATTTTTAATTTTCACATTTCTAGTTCAAACCTAGTTTGGAAATCACATTTCAAAATATTACTTTTTTGAAGATACCATCCCTCAGCCTATAAAATTGTTTGGTAGTAATAGTTTTGTCTTCAATCACCACAAATGTTAAGTTCCATTAATTTTAAACATTTGAAATAAATTTTCAATTTTTTTTTATCGATTTAATGGTCTCAGAAAATACCTCTTTTCCCTCGATATTAGTTTTTTTAAATTTGAAAATACATTTTTTCAACAAAGTATTATGAGGAAGTTATATGCAAATAATGTTTATTTTGAGGAAGTTATTTTTAATATGCAAATAACGTTTGAAAACAAAATTATTGAAAATTTAAACTGAATAAATGGGGGGGGGGAATTGTTTGGGTAGAAAAGCTGGTGAGAATTTCGAGTTGGAAAATACTCAAACATTTCTTATATTAGGTTATAATTATTGTTAAAAATGTTTTATTTCATTTTGCTTTGAGTTAATTTAAATATCTTTTCATCTATGAAGATACTGTAAGGCAGAGAAATCAGGAAACTGCAGGGAAAATAGATTCAGGTTTCTAGCAGGCACCTCGGTTGGTGACTTTCTTCCAGAAACTTAATGAGCATCTTGATATAGGTTATCTAAAAGTAATGTGCATATTTAGTTTCATTTTTATGAATTTGTGACACAAAATGTGAAACTTGTTTGATTTTTTTGTTATCCTGTTAACCCAAATTTTGGTAATGGAAATGACATTGTCATATGACAAAACTATCTTATACAGATTGATGAAATGCAGTCATTGTAATTTGATAATATTTTTATTTTTTCTTTCCCCCTCCCTTTCATTGTATTGTAGTGCAAGTATCATATTTAATGCTAAATACAGGAGAAAGTGAAAAAGAATCATTAGGAAAATTATCAGTATTTTCTTTATTAATGTAGCATGCTGTGCTACAGTTACACAGGGCTAAAACTGTCATATCTCCACCTTTTGCTAGTATGATATAATGTAATACACATTTTTGTGATACTGTACAGAAATTCTAAATCATCTGAATTACAATGAATGTATTAGTATGATCCAATAAGTTGGGTTGGTGATGCTGGCCTTCGAATTGAAGGCGCAATATGTAGGGTATTAGTGAAAATTGCATACATGCTTTCTTAGGAAATTCTTTGAGGGATTTCAGTTGAATTTGTAGTATAGTTTGGGTTAAAATTTTTATCTAAGAATTATTATTAAAAAATATTGTACAAAATTATTACACTAAAAAACTTCTATGTCATAGTTAATTATTACACATTTAACAGAAAAGGAAATTAATAATTTTTAAAATATTGTGGAGTACATCGGTAAATTAGCAGTTTCAGGTTTGTTCTTGCTATGAAGCAGTGGCAGTTTTGCAAGGGAGGAAAATCCTCCTCATATATTTTCTTCTGAATGTAATTACCAAGTAATTTACTTGCTTTGATGTTTAAGGGAACACACACATTTTAAGGAAATTCACTTTGATTGAATTTTAAACTATGCTTACTTTTTAAGCAGTAGGAAAAAAATTTGATTCCTCTGAGGAGGCCTTCCTCTTGTGCATTAATTGTCCATATTCCACAGCACTCCTGTGATAAAAAGACTACTTTTTTTAATGGAACTATATAGCACAAGGAAGAATATCCTCTTTTTTGCTGCTATCTACACACCTCTCTTTCAACTATATCAGTGTGTCATGGAACATGGACGATGCCACATGCCAGCAAGGGCAAGAACCAGGTTGCCAGGGTATGTCTGGACATCGGCTGAGCAGCTGGTGCATGATTAATCTCGCAATGTGAGCTGGCAGAAGTGTGTGTGAATGGCCAGACCAAATTGATAGATCTTTTTTGTTATCCCATTGCGTCTAAAATTATTTGTTGTATGTTTCATTTGAAGTACTTTATTCAATTGACATTTTTGTTTTTTCTCCTCTTAGTGCATGAGCCACTATTGCTATAAAGAATTGTTCAAATTCAGGAATGCCAAAATGCTTGCTGAATGGTGAAATTTCCTTACTATTTTACTGTGTATTAAAACAAATGTTTGTTGTTGTGCCAAAATGTACCAAATTCAAGTATTAATAGAAACTGTAAGTATTAAAGAATTTATTGGGAGGATCATAAATTTTCTAAAATGAGCATGTTTGGTTGATATCTATGTATGCCTTGCATCACAACTTGCAGCTCAAGACATGGCTCCAATAACCTACCTTCATCTGCGAATAGTGAAATCTCTAAAGAAAATATTTCCATGTACTTTTTTAAATTATTTATTTGCAAATAAACATGATTTAGTTTCCCAGTAATTACTCGCAAGAGACTATAAAAACTACAGACGTATATTTCCAACGCAATACAATGCAATGTAATGTGTATATTAATTTAAACTTTATTAATTTCGTATTTATATGGTACATCTATTAAAGATATTGGAGTCAAATATGTAGAGCTCTTGCGTTCTGTAATTTTCGATAATAATGTAAAATAGTTTTGTGATGTCATGTGCCTGAAAATATTTCATTGTAAATCTCTTCCTTGATGTTAACAATCAGAATTGTCATTAATGCCTAAAAAAATAATTGCTAGAAGGGTGTGGAGTTTGTTCCAAAATGTCTTGACGCTGTGATAATGTCAGTTCAATGATGTTTTGTGTACAGAATTAGCAGGTGATCTGAATCATACGATATTTAGATTTTCTTATCATGAGTAGTAAATAATTCTAAGTTCATCCATTATTCTTTGACTACTTTTCAAAAAGAAACTGTTGAAAACAAAGCAAGATGTTCCAGTTAATCAGTGTGTAATGCACTCGTGATTTAAGTACATAATGAACATCTTGTTTGGTGATTGAATAACTGTTAATAATTGTAAAAACCTTTGATTGAACCAAAAAAACATATTTTTAAAGATATTTTGTTGGTTGAAAAATTTTACCTGAAGAATTACAAATTGTTGAACAAATGGTCTTTAATGTATTAAAAGAGATGTTGAATATATTTGTAGGTTTCGAGAGCCAAATATCCATGCAAGTTAAGCAAGCCATGCAAGATCATGATGTTTCTCAAAAGAAGAGTCCTTAAATTTTATTGGTACAGAGATTTTGTTTATTGCCTCTGTGTTAGATA